ATTGATCCATAACACTTATGGATTTTGGGATTCCTTGAAACAGCTCCACGATCCCAAATTCGACTTGAGAGCTTGTGCATCTCTGACTGGGGACCAACCAGACTCATTTGTGGATGGCTGATTTCCATAGACAATGCCTTTTAGAGAAATGGTGTGAGCCCCTCAACCCCATTCCCCAGCATACACATAGGGGAGTCCAGGGAGTGGTCAGACTCTTGCATATCTGCGAGCTCCTTGCCTCAGTAGAACATTGGCCAACCATTATGTTCACTAAACTCTCCTCTTTCCAAAATCTTGGTGCACTGAAGACACTGAGCACCATTGTTTGAGGAAGGGGAAGAAATGGAACTTACATTTGTGTCTGAGAATGGTGCTGGCACACTGTGGCTATAGTGACAGATCTATGGGGACCCCAGCATGTTTCTGGGCTGGTTCAATCTCTCTGCAGTAGAATGACCCCCTCCCCAAATCTGGCTACAAAAGTACCTGTTAGGACTTGGCAAACCTAGAAGCCCCCTTTCCTTGTAGGGGGCCTGCCTTCAGAGGGTCCTCCTGGCCCAGGCAGGAAGCCAGCAAGACCCAGGAAATGATGCAGAGCTGTGGAGGCAAACAGCCAAAGCAGACATTCTGAGGAGACCTGGCACAAACCCAGCTGAACAAGGAGGGGCCTAGAAGAGGGATCTCCTTATACTGCGAGCACCTTCCCCTACTCCCAGGAGAGGTCAGGAGTGGGGCAAAGGGTAGAGGAAGGAGCATGATTCTATTACTTTGAACATCTGTTGGTTTGGATATAGAGGGCTTGAGTTGATCCTAACTGAATTTTGGAAAACAAAGAAAACCACAGACACCCTGAGTATTTGGGTTATATAGTCCAAACCTACCATAGTGAAAGACAACAGCCTCTTGTTGTAGCGAGGGCAGGGGGAAAAATGTGGTCATGAGCGGCATAGCGTTTGTAAATAGAAGTAGAAATAATCAAAATTTAATTGATAATGTTATCTTCATTTTAAAATGTTTAATTACAGAAACTAAGTACATTTCATCTAGAAGAAAATATACCTGATATGTAGCCCTTTATGTGTATGTGTCGAGCTCCAAGCTTTGCCCCTGGGGGTTCGTGAGCAAGAGGCTGAGTGTGTGGAGTACTGATCCTCACCTTCATCCTCAGCTTCCTTGCACATGCCTCATGCAAGTCCACGGAATTCAGTTAGGCAATAGCAACTTGCCAGAACCCAAATAAGGATCACCAAGGTTTGGATTCCACAAGCTAAAATTGATCCACTGCTGGAGTTAAGGAAGAATTCTGATTCATGAGTTCATACTCCAGGGACACACCTTCTCTTGGCCAGCAGAGCAGCTCATGATTCAAACAACCGACGGGGATTTCTGTCATTTTCTGCGTGTATTGTCCATCCCAACTTTGCAGTGCAGAGGGACTGTGACAAGCACTGCCTCAAGGAAAGATGTTCTCAGTGAGTGACCCCTCACTGATAGCACAGAGCTATTTTCCTTTTAATTTTAAAGATCTAAGTGGTCTCATTAAGTGAGACATGAATCAAGCAGCAACCCACTGAGCAAGCAGAGGGGAGCTACTATCAGAGTCTAAAGCAGGAGCAGGTGTGCAGTAGGAATCATTGGTCTCCTCAGTGGGCTGTGACCGAAACAGCTTGCTCCAAGTACAGATATCACTTTTTCCAAAGGACACAGTTCTACACTATCAAAGCTTTTTGACTATGTGCATAGGGGCTGTTCCTTTTGTCAACTTATACCTCAATTAAAACAGACTAATAAAAACAAGAAGGCCAGAGGAGAAAGGACCAAGGGTTCTTGACAGTGAGACCTTGCAGATACCTGCAAAGAAGTGAGATTTAAGAACGGGAAGAAGGTTCTGCCAAGAATGTATCATTTCAGTGTACTAACCAGGAAACATCAAACCCCAAGTGAGGAAAGTATTATTAAGGAGAAGGAAGGCACTGTACTCTTAAAAAATGTCAATGTCATAGCAAACAAAGAAAGATTGTTTGTGACCCTTTCAGTAGGGATTTCTGTCACCAAGCTGAAGCTGAAATGCTTCAGCTTAAAGAAAGTTAAAAGGACTTGACATCTAAACACTGTACTAAACGTTATACCAGATCTATGACTGGATCCTGTCCCATGAGTGGGGGTGGGGGGTGTGAATGGGGAGGAGGAGATACTACAAAGGGCATGAGAGTGAGTGTGGATTGTACATTGGTTAATGTTTCGTCAGTATAGATAATGAAATGATATCCAAGCCATGGTATATAAGGCAATTCCATTCAAGAAATACCAGGGAAATATTTAGAAGCACAGGACCATTTTATATTGTATATGTGCAAAAAATATGTATCTATGTGCACAACAATTCCCTGCTGCTTACTTTGAGGGGAAAAAAGACAAGTGCAGGTTTGGTTCTGATTTGGCTCTTGTTGGCAAGGCCAGTTAAAGGTTTGGCAAATGTTTTTTGAATATCAGCACCTCCAAACAAGGAAGCTTTTATCGGACACACTCTATCAGTAACTGCTGAAAGCCACATCATAGCCATAGCTGATTCATGCAGACCTTTACTCCAGGTCAGGTCACTTGCACCTGGAGATGGAGGTGGTCCAGGCCAAGTTCATGCTTTAGGACAATGGCATCTGTTCCTTTTAATTGCACTCACATGTTTGAGCAAGAAGGGGAGGGTGGGGGTGGGGAGGAAAACACGCACAAACCATAAAACAAACAAAGTATAATGTTAGCAGTAGTAAATCTGGGTAAAGGGCCTCTAAGGGTGTCCTTTGTGGAATTTTCTGTTTAAATTTTTAAAAATTATCTCCAAATAAAAGTATGTCGTTTTTTGTATTGGGGATGAGGAAGATGAAAGAAGCTGCAAGGGTTTCGCAGTTAAACTTGAACCACCCAAGGCACTGACTGCCAGTTCTGTACATGGATCATTCCCAAGCAATAAAAGCTAGATTGCTTATGTTACAAACCTGCTAGGAAGCCAGTGAATTTCCTTATTGCTCACCTTAGGTCTTTTGTTGATGAAGCCAGTCAGAGGGTGGACAAATACTTTCCCAGCACTCCAAACAAGCAGAATGTTATCAGGACACCCTCCTTTAACCAGTAACTTCTGAAAGTCACATCACACACAGAATTGATTCATGAAAACCTTGACTCCTGCAGGTCACTATTTCTTGGCCAGCTCTTTATGTTGGAACAATTGCCTCTATTTTATCCAGTGCCAAATTTCCCACAACAATCCGGGTTATATCATAGTGAACTTGAGAGACGAATGAGTGTCCAGTGACCTCTCAGTGGACTTTCAAAGACCACAGTACCTCATCTTGCTGTGAGCTCAGAAGACTTTTCCCGAAGTCGCCTCCTCCCGCCCGCATTCCATGAGATCTGCTGTAGTAGTGAATGGGATTTGACCTCCTCCAGAGGCTGCTTTGGCCAAGTGTGGGCAGCAGAGATTAGACTCTCCCCCCAACACACACATACACAAAAGATCCAGGATGAGTTTGCTCAAGCATACTTCCTAGGTGAAAAGAAACCTCCTCTTAGAAGTTCAATATAGAATGAAAGTGGTCTTCCTTTCTGCTAGTGTGTATAAAACCACTGCAATGCTGGAAATAGGGAGTTGAACCTAGGTAGCCAGATAGGCATGCAGGCACAGGCAAAGCTTCTTTGTCCTCTGCCTTTCCCAATCATGTCGAGTTAGTTCTTCAAGAAGGGGAAATCAAGAATAAGAGCTTGCTTTTTCTGCAGTGCAACTGGAATTTTGACCTCTTAGCAAAACCATGCTCCAGAGTGCTTAGCAGAGGAGATGAGCATCAGAGAGCGAGACTGTGCAGGAGCATCAGAGAACAGAGCTGGGCAGGAGGATTACAGGAGAGGAAGTTACTGCTTACTGGCACAGCCCTAAAAGAAGCTGCAGACATAACAACCCATTTCTGCCAGCAGAGACACAGAAGGTCATGCTAGGAGACAGCAACTTTGAGCGCTCAGATTTCAGGGCCTAAGGGTGCTGCCCTACAGCTGTTCTGGGGCACAGCCTACCCAGGGCTGGAAGTGAGTTGTGAGACCATACACAGTGCTTCAGCCAGCAGATCCTGCATGCAATTTATGCCAGTCACTTCATCTCTGTAATAATCGGTAGCAACTCACAACATCTAGTGTTCGTGGTGTAATAACGAGCATTCTGTTACTGATACTCACAACAGCCTCCTCTCTCTCTCTGAATTTTTAAAAAATGTTTTCCAGCTTTATTGAAATATAATATTCTGTAAGTTAAAGGTTTATAATGTGATCATTTAATATATGTGTGCATTGTGAAATAAGGTTAGTGAACACATTTTTCGTCTCTCACGGTTATCATTTTTATTTTTGTGTGTGGTGAGAACTTTTAAGAGCTACTCTCTTAGCAACTTTCAAGTATACAGTATGGGTATTGACTTGACTTCTTTTGGAAAGTAAGGAAACAAAGGCTGGAAAAAGTCAGTCTAGCCACATCAAAAAATTTATTAAGTGGTGAACTGGAGCCAGGACAGCGTGGGTTCAACTCTCATATGCTTCGAACACACCGTGCACAAGAACACACACACACACACACACAAACACACACACACACAAGTTAGGAGTGGCTTTTCCAGCCTCTACCTCAAGAAAGAGGTTGGTGGACCTTATTAGATTTGCGGCTTGCATGTTCTACATTCACATGCGCTTAGAAAGACATCGTGGCGGTTAAGCAGAAGGCTCTGGGCATTGTAAGGCAACTGGTACATTATCACCTGGCTGGGATTTTCTCCCATCTGATGGCAGATGCCAGATGCTGGCAGGGTTTCCCTGTTGGGACTTCAGAATCCCAGTGTGAGCAGCCAAAAAGGTCAGGCATGGTGAAAACTGATGGGTCACGTGAGCAGCAACTGTCAATGGGCTGGGCTCAGCCAGTTTACCGACCCTGAGTAACCTGCCATCTTCTCCCCCTACCTTTGCAGCCAGCCTCGGTTTGAGTTCCAGGGCAGCAGCTCTCGGGGAGCAGCCAGCCTACCAGGGGCCTGTGCACTGCATTGCAACCATCGTGCGCACCGAGGGCCTGGCAGGAATGTACCGGGGTGCCAGTGCCATGCTGCTGAGGGATATCCCAGGCTATTGCCTCTACTTCATCCCCTACGTGTTCCTGAATGAGCTGATCACACCCGAGGCCTGTGCAGGCCCCAGCCCCTGTGCCGTGTGGCTGGCAGGCGGCATGGCAGGTAAGTGCGGTAGCAGCTTGTCCCCGTCTGTCCGTGCGGCAGCAGGACAATGGGGAGCCTGCCACGCCCTCTCAGCCCCAGGACCTCAGGGTTTACCCTCCAAGTTTTGCTTAACTACCTACCAAGTACCATGTAAGCAAGCAGGGGAAAGGGCTGGGAATGGAGAATGGTCCCCCTTCTTTCTCCTATTCCCTTCCCTCTGGAGCTGTGGGGATAGCAAGTCCCTATTGGGGTTCATCCAAATTTCAGCTAGAGGTATATTTTGAGCACTTACCCTATATCAGGTTGTACTGAGCTTTGAAAAGGAAACCTGTTACCTTTTTTGAATGTCAGCATAGAGCATACCTTTCTGGTATAAGGATTTAATGAAATCCATAAGATAGAAATCAGTTTCCCTGTTTTGCAGATGAGAAAATCCAGGTTCAGAGAGGTGAAGTCACACAGCTAGTGCACACAGGGAGAAACCCAAGTTCAAATCTACACTTAGTCATTTTATACCATGGACTCATTACTTAGCCTGTGAAGTCAGCCCCACGCTGCACCCCCAAAATACATTTAGGGTGAAAGCCAATGTCCTCACAGTGGTTATCAAAACCCTCTGTGATCTGGCTGCCGATTACCCTTTGAACTCCTGTCCCCTACCTTGCTCTGTTCTAGCTGCTCTGCTCTCTGATGCTTATTTGGGCCTGGCTCTCTTCTCAAGAGAGAGATGCAAAGCCCAATGGCCTTTGCACTTGCCATTCTTACCACTTAGATTTAATGTTGTATCAATACAAGTCATCAGGGACTTTGACAAGACCCATTTGTGTCAAGAGAAGGGTGGGAAATTTTGAAATGGTGTCAAAAGAGAATGGGATGAAAGCATTTGGGGATTCCAGATCTTCACAACCCTTTTGAGGGGTTTTTCTGTGCTGTCACCGGGAAGAGAGAAACACGGGTATAGCCAGAGGGGAAGGAAGGAAGTCAAGAGCGGATTGCTTCTTAAGAAGGCTATCCCATCGTATGTTTGATTCTGACAGGAAAGATCCACTAGAGAGAGAAGAAAATTGTGGTTACTCTTCCTCATCATCATAATTAACCACATTGAAATCTAGCCAACACATTACAAGGCCCATGGCTTAGCCAACAGTGTTCTTACTGCGCACCCATGTGTCTAGCCCATAGCTGGCTCCTGATAGGTGTCCTGAAAATGTTTTGGCTGAGAAAGGAAACAAGGCCCCATCTGCTCTTATTTCTGGTGAGCAGGTATTTCTGGCAGGTAAAATTCTTTAATATCCTTGCCCAGGATATTGAGGGGCAGGAAAGTATACCAGGGAAAGTGGCCAATTCCAGGGAAAGTGGCCCTTTATCTTGGCAGCAGGCAGCAGGGAAGGCAGGTCCACAGGGGCTCTCAGAGGGCGAGAGGCAGGAGGCTTTGGGGGTTAGGGGGAGGGCAGGCAGCCTGGTGGGCAGAATGCCCAGTGCAGGCAAAGTCTGTTTTGGGAACAATTACAAAACCTTACAAACAACTGCCCTGGACTTTGGCATCAATTTGTTTTTCTCTCCCCAGGAATGTGTCGATTTCTATTTTTACACAATCATCTGTTTATTATTGTCTGAGCATTAAAGTGCTAAAACCAGGGCACCTGAGCTTTTCCAATGTGGGTGACTCAGGGGTGTGTACTAAAGCTTCAATTTCACATATTTGGAAAAGATGAGAGATTTTTAAATACCTGCCCTGTACTCCCCTAAAGTCCCAACACTGGGCTCTTCCCTGGGAGCAGCTTGGGTGTAAGTGTGGTAAGAGAAATCCTGCCTCCAGGGAACCTTCAGCCTCAGGGCTCACCCTGGTCTCTCTCCACTGGTTGCCCCAGAAGGCTGCAAAGTACTAGTGGGGGTCATTTGCTCATGACCCCTTCCACGCATGGGCACTGGCTAGGCAGCTGGCACTTCTGAGTTGCTTGCCTTGGCCTACTCATCCCCATAGCAGTGCCATGAAGGTAGCTACAGCTGCTCTTTTTTGCAAATAAAAGGCCAGAGACCTAGGGAAATCAGGATACTTTGGCACAGACAAGGGAGGAGCAAGAACAGTTTTTACTTTCCCTACCCCCTGGGGCACTTTCCGTTTTTAGAGCCCTGACACCTGCTTGTCTCTCTTTACAGGAGCAATTTCTTGGGCGGCATCAACTCCTATGGATGTCATGAAAAGTCGACTCCAAGCTGACGGGGTTTATTTAAACAAATACAAAGGTGTCCTGGACTGTATCTCCCAGAGTTACCAGAAAGAAGGTCTTAAAGTAAGCCCCCCAGAGATCGTGCGGGGTCAGAGTCAGTCCCTGGACAGTGGGTCAGACACCTGAGGGAGCTTTTATTAAGTGGTGCATGGGAAACTCAGCTAGTCCTCGTGCTGTGCTGGCGGGAAACAGGTGTGCACCACTTCACAGGTTCAGAGGGGCCTGGCAACCTGCCTCTGAGATCACATCTGTACCTGGCTGAGCCAAGGCCTGGAACTGTCTGTTTGCGTTTGCCACCAAAGCTTGCTTCTTGTCAAGCTGGGCTGGGGTCCTGCCTCCTCTAGGTGGCCAGTCAGGGGGCCCCCTTGCCCCCTTCCTGAACCCAGCTCACTAGGTTCAGTTTCCTGGTCTGTCTTCTGCTCTCCCACCCATGTCCAGTCCCCATCACTACTAGCCTCAGCTGCTGAGGCAGCCTCCAGCCTGGCCTTCGGGCTTCTTCCCCGTGTCCAGGGGCTCTTCTGAAACACAAGCCCCTTCCTGCCTCTAAGCTGTTACTGCATCTGGGGTGCAAGGTTCTTAATGAATGCCTCCTCATCTGTCCCATAGTACCCCCTGATCTCTCTAGTGACACCAGCACCCTGACCCTCCCACGAATGGGCTTTTGGCTTTCCTGGCCTGGCTCTTAGAGAAGAGTGAGCCAAGAGGGGTAGAGCGGCTCATGGTAGGGCCCACTGCTCAGGTCCACCCATCTGTTGCCTGATGCACAGGTGGCTCAGGTCCCTCTCAAGTCCAGCCCCTTGCGTACAGCACTGGATCTCCCAGCCTCCTCGGAGGTGCTTTATTTTTCATGAATGGATGCCTAATTTTCGTTGCCAAGGCAGAGACAAAACAAAGGATGTCTATGCTTCCGTGATCTGATGTCACTGTTGCCCTGGATTCCCTTTTAGAGTTTATTTCTTCGTGTAGCTTCAAGTTACTGTCCAGTGTCGTTTCATTGCACCCCCAGGACTCCTTTGAGAGTCCTTGCAGGATAGGTCTGATTTTTCTGAGCAGGTCTTCATTTCCCCCTTACCCTTGAGAGGGTTAGATTATCAAGTCCATGAATTCTTCCCTTCCTCATGGAGGAAGGGGCTGCACCAGGGGGTATAGGGGTGAGGCAACCATGGCGTCCCTCCTCTTTGCACCTCTGTAGTCAGATCTCTAATAGTTTGAGGGCAGGGTCGCTTTTGTCCATCCTCACTCCCATGGTTATTCTAGGAATGTGTGCCCAGCTGCCTGCCACAGGGCGGAGGCCAGGGGGTGCGTGTCTGCTCAGTGCTAAGAGCTAAAGTGGAACTGAATGAATCACAATTTACTCTCTCCCCCTGGGAAATACATATCTTTCATAGACTCCAGAATTCCAAAAGAGCCACATCGCATAGATTCTGCCAGTGTAATTGTTGTTCAGGTAAAGGGTAAAGTTAAAGAGAGACATGAGAGAAATTTTCTACTCTGTCATCTTTCTAGGATTTTCACCTCAAATATTTTTCCTTTTTTTTTTTTTAACCAGAAGTGTAGATTATGATTCGGTCAACAAGTACAGAGAGATATCATATAAGAGAGATTTGAACAGGACATTGTGTTTTTATTTGAGATATTTTGATCCATTTCTCCAAATTTTTATATTATGAATATATGAAGCTTAGGGGGAGGATATATTGCTGATATTAATTCCTCCAAAACTGCTCATATGCCATAAAAAACAGAGTCTTACAAGGCAACTGAGGCCAGACAATTGATTTCTTAACCTCAATCTCAGTTGGTCCATAATTTCTATTCAGAGACAGGTTTTAAGTCAAGACAAATTTGCAGCTCAATTAATCACCTCACTCACTGAGATTAAAGTTTTTGAATTTTTATTACTTCAAAATTAGTATATGAACATAGGAAGCTTCAGCAGCATCTAAGTACCTGGTCTAAATGTCCCTGCTTTGTTCTCCGGTCTCTACTCAAAAGTAATCACTGTTACGATTTTCTTGTGATGTGTAACAAAACTATCCATGGTCTATGCAAGTATTTCTGTGTGTGTACATTCACGTAAGAGAGAGTGACATGGAGCAAAAAGCCCCACTCAGCCCTGGGGAATTGGGTCGTCTTATAGTCAGATTCCCAGCAGCAGCAGCAGCAGCAGCAGCAGCAGGAGGGAGACCTTTCCCAGGCCCCAGGCATGGCTCCCATCCCACTTGGCTTGGGCAGTGGCTCTCTGAAGTCCCTATTCCCAAACAGAGTTTATGCAGCTCACTGAGGTGGGGTGCAAAGCCCTGGGCCACCTGTGCCCACTTTCCTCTGGAAGAAGAACTTAGTGAGTAAAGAGGAGGAGAGGAGTAAAGTGATGACGAATGACTTTTAGGAGCTCCTTGTAACTCACTCAGCGATCGATCACCAATAAGGTGAGCTTGATGTCAGGGGATTCGAGGCCTATGGATTTGGGAGCCTTCTCAAGTCAGAACAGAAAAGCCTGGTGGTTTAGGATTCCTTCTGTTAGCATCTGAAATCAGTTTCCCGCTCTCCACTGCAAGCAGTCATTGGAGAAGGGATGTGGTGTCCTTGAGCCCCACAGAGAAAACTCACGAGGGCTTATGATAGTGGGATGGGAATGGATGACAAAGGAGAAATGAGAGATGAATATTTGTAAGTGGGCCAACTTCTTGAGGTACTGGGCTGATGGTCCTTAGTTTCTGTCACTTGAGGGTCTGCAGCCCTCCCTCTGCCTCTGGAATCCCCCTTCCACAAGCACCACCAGTCTTCACCTCAGAGACTGTTCCTTGTTGACATCAAGAAGTCCACTCATTCACTCACCCATTTACCCAACACCCATCCCCCATTGATTCACTTAATGAGAGTTATAGAGGGTCTAAGAACAGTGGCCACTCACTACCCTGAGTGGGTTCGTTAGTGGGAGATCAGGCAAGTCAAGATTGGCGGGCAGTCTGAATGGTGCTGCAGCGCAGATCTGAGTGCACAGAAGGCTACAGCTCACAATTAACAAGATGGCTGTGGGGGGCTGCCAGAGGGTACTGGGGCACATTCCAGCAGCAGAGACCAGGGGACCAAGGAGAGAGAGAGCTAGCCCATCGGGGAATAACAAGTTGGAGCCTCCCCACAGAAAGCTAGGAGCCAAAGTGCAGGGTTCTCCAGGCAGGGAAAACCAGTGAAACTCATGAGGAGTGATTTTTCACTGGTAGTTCTGTGCTCTGAAAGCGCTGGAGCTGGAGGGAGTGGGCTGGAGAGGAGTGACAGGTCTGCACTGTGTTGGCCACCTTTGTGGTCACGGAGCAGGCCACTGCTGCTGGGGAAGGTAACATCCGTCTGTCTGCGGAGTCCACAGCTCCTGTAGGGTCTACCGCTGTGGGAAAGGAGACTCAGGCTCCATGCCAGGGCCCGCCTGACTGAGCCTGGCAGAGCGAAGCCCAGGTTCTCTGCGAGCTCTGTGGGCACCCAGGATGGAATTTCCCTCTTGAGGCCTGACCCATTTCCTTGTTATTCAGTCACTCTGGGTGAGCCAGTGGAATCTCAGAAAGGTCAGCCTGTAGAGAGGGATGTTAATGTTACAAGGATCCCACTTGCCCCCTGCCTGAATCGCTGCATGCTTGGCCTAAGCCATTGGCTCACCTCTGGTGATTCAACCACCTACCCCCACTGGGGCAAGGGCTGTCCCCAAGTTCACCAAAGCCCTTCTCTGTCCTCCTCAACCAAGCTGTAGCTCCCAGGCTGCCATGTGGTGCCAAGATGCAGGCTCCTCTGCTCTCCTGATGGAAGGTCACCTGGCATCTGGGTCGCTGAGTGGTGGCCATTACCTGCCCTGACAGCTTAGTTGCTGGCAACCATGGAAACGGGAAAATGCCACAAGCTAGATTTCTACTTTCTTAAAATGACAGTATGGGTCTATATAATGAAGTTAGTATATATACAGACCCAGGAGGCAACTTTAGCCCTTCTAAATGCCAGTTGTTAGTCATTCATGCCTCCGTAGGGATTTGCCGGTAGCCACTATCTCCTCCTAGAATAGACAGTCTGTGTCTGGTTTCATGCTGCTCTAGGTTATATTGTATTTTTTCGTGAATGGGGCTTATTTCCTCTAGTAGATTTTAAACGATGCAAAGGCTGGAACCACATCTCTTTGATTAGTGTCTACTCAGCACCAGAGAAGGAGAAAGAGAAGCCTCTTATCGCATTCTCCAGGAAGGGAAGAAAGATACAGGTTCCTGGAGTATTGAAGGTTGAGTAACAGCTCATCACTACATGCGCCTCAGCTCTGCTGGTGATGATGAGTTTGGGGCTGCTCTGTCTACAGTGACGGACACTGGTAGTAGGATGCCCACGATGATGGTCAGCAGTGATGAGCACTTGGGACGTGGCAGCGCCCTCTCACAGGTTGCCGCAGCTGTCACTGGCCAAAATGCACCTCCTGTCAGGTGACCTCCTGTCAGGAGAGCAGAGGAGGCTGCATCTTGGTGCCGCATAGCAGCCTGGGAGATGAAGTTTGGTTGGGGAGGGCAGAGAGGATGTGGTGAACTTTGGGGAAGCGCTCGCCCCAGTGGGGGTGGGTGGCTGGGTGACAGACCTGATTATTGATCAGGTCAGTAATCTCTTTCCCCCATTTTACACTAGGGGAAATTTAGTTCCAGAGACTGCCATTTGCCCAAGTAACATGACATTGAATGGCAAAGCAGGTGCCTCAACTCCATGTCTGTGGCTGTAAGCATGGCCTGAGTTCTCCCCCACTCTGCTCCTGTGGGCATCCTGTGTAACGCCTATCTCTGTGACTGGTCTTGCCTGGGTGGCCTCTCTGCTGCTGCAGTGAGTGCAGTGGAGAGCCCAGAGCTCCCTCTTCCGAAGAGTCGTGTGAGGGTGGAGGTGTGTGTGCAAGTGCATGTGTAGCAGAGAGAGCAGCAATTAAGTGAGGGTTTGTGATGATCGTGGGGCTCAGCAGTTTCCCGGATGCTTTTAGAGCAAGCGTAACAGGCCTGAGAGGGCAAGTGCCTTTGGGTGTAACTGGGGCATGCAGGTGGTTAAGGCCCACACAGGTCCTTTGGGCTCTGCAGGGTCCAGCCTGGGCTAGCCTGGGATGGCAGCCCCATCAGCCCTTATTTTGCTCCTAAATGCTGGCCCCGCCGAAGGTGCAGCTCAGTCGCCCATAATAACCTGCCTCTTGTGGAAGGTGTTTTTCAGGGGCATCACGGTAAACACTGTCCGGGGATTCCCTATGAGCGCAGCCATGTTCCTGGGATACGAGCTCTCGCTGCAGGCCTTGCGCAGGGATCACGCGGTGACAAGCCCGTGAGCACCAGGTCAGTGCGCGTCCCTTCCAGAGAGCTGAAGCCTGCGGCTCTCTTCCTTTGCGTGCTTCTTGAATGTTGCTCTTATCCATTCCTTTCTAGTCTGTGTTGGGTCTTTGAAAATGCCTCTCTTCTCACCATCAAATAGCTCTTCAGAGGTGCCCACCTGTGACTGATGGGAAGCTGGGCACTCACGAAGGTTGGCATAGACTTTACCTGTCTGTAGAAAGCTCACCCATCTACTCTTTGACTCAGCAGCTTCCACAAATGAACAGGTGTGCGATTTGCTTCACGGTACAAATCAATGACCCAGGCTCAGGAGTGAGGATGGCACCAGGGTGCCTACTTCCATCACATGTGTACATTCTCAGCTCATAGCCTGAGTGTGAGAGGTGCCAACAGGCTTCCAAAAGGAGACCTCAACCCCTGCCCCTTTCCTTTTCCTCTTCTCATTACAGAAACATCACTGCGACCCAGGTGATCTAATAACAAATTTGAGCAAAATGACTCTCTTGTTCAAATGCCCTCCATAGACCCCCATTGCCCTCTCAGTAAAGCGTGAGCCTTTAACAGCCTCATCTAAATCCACAGTCCTAATTGTACTATCCGCTCTGGTCTTTGGGTCTTTAGTCATGCTATTCCTGCCTCATGCCCTCTCCTTTCCCTTCTTTCTCCTTGGTTCTTAGCTTCAACAGTTCCTCTTTGTTATCCAGGCCCTGGTCTAATGTCTCCTCCTCCAAGAAGCCCACATGATGCCTCTGCTAGGAGGAGTCGGGCCTGGTGTTGATTCCCTCCCAGAGTTCCCACTCACCCCGGCCATATCCCCTGCATGATAAACTGACAGCTTTTCTTACCCTCCAGTTAATATGAGAGTCCCAGGAGAGTTCCAACTATTTTTTTCATTTCTGTATGGCTGATGTCTCACACAGAGCCTGGGGCACAAATGACTACTCAGAAACATCTTTGACTGGATGTACAATCAGCCTCTGCATCTCCTCAGTTCCTTTTCTCTTCCTCCCTGTTTCTCCTTCTCTGACCTCACAGCGGTAACCTGCAGAGTTCAGAAGAAATGGGGAAAATTACTAAATCACTAAATTATCTGGTTAATCAGGAACCATTTCACTCTGGCCTTGGTGACTGCAGATTCTCTCAAGAAGGATGGTCTTTGTCAAGAAGGTCTAGCAAACTCCTTTCTGCCTCCTCTGGGGTAGCAGAGCCCCGCCAGAAAGCACGGATGGGGCCGGAGTCTAGACATAGCAGAAGGACACCGTGGATCAGGCTGTGTGAGTGGGCCCAGGACAGGCCCTAGAAGCTGGCTTTACATCCAGTGCTTTTAACTTTTCACTAAGCTGCCCACATTCACAGTTTTCCTGGCTTTTTGCCCTCATCTAAAAGGAAAAGGACTATCATGCCTTTTGCATAATTAACTGTCTTGGGTAAAGAGTTACTGTATTTGGGCTATGTCCAGAGCAGGGGAGAGAAGTCTTCCTTATTCTTAAAGGTGTACTTAGGTATCAGCCACTTTCTCCTTTTAGCAGATGACAGTGATTTTTAAAAATCCTATAATATAACCAGCACATTTTATTATAGAAAACAAAGAGAAAGAACAGAATTATAGTACCAATAAACCTAAAACCTTGCTATGTGATTGTTCCAAATGTTTTTATGTGTTTCCTAAAACAGGCACCTACTTTGCACCCTGCTTTCTAGCCTACTCTTCCCATCCAGTTGTTCAGGATCATTTGTCCATGTCTTTACAACTTCAGCTGCAAGGTAGTTTCAATGCCAAGACCTGGCAGAACCCAGCCTGGCTGGACGCTTGCCTAGGCTGTCGCACAGCCACTTGTGACCACCCTGGTGATTGGCTACCCCAGCAGGAAGGAAGAAGTTTCCCGCAAGTCAAATCATGACTGTCCTGGATTTGGCCGTGCAGACTACCCCAACAGAAAGCCTTTCTTTCTGAAAGTTCTCCTGAGCAGGGGCTGGGGTGTGTGTCTGCCCTTCTGTTAGGGTGGGGAAGAAAGCTGATGCCTCCCACCAGATAGAACAGGACAGACTTTCCCCAGACTCTTTTCTGTAGCCTCATCTTGAACAAGCCTTACTTAAGGTGTTCATCTTCCATTCTGGGTGCTCTAAGAATGCCCAAGTCCCTGACAAGTCCTGGATCTGGATTTATCCAGTATTGTGAGTCATGATCTGGGCAGCAGTCACATCCACTTTGATGATGGGTAGATCAGTGCCTTCCTCATAGTCAGGACCGAGCACACTGTGATCCATCTTATAGCAGAGAAGCAGGGAGTCCTATGACTCTCATGAGCAGGCAGGGACTAGCTCATGAGTCCTGGGTGCAGTGGCAGGAATGACATGGACTTACCTCTGAGCACCTGAAGGAAATCGCGTCTGATCCAAGCAGCCGCAGCCTCCTGCTACAGAATCTCCCATAAAGTCCCCTGGAGGAGAGCACTTCCTTTCCTTCATCTGCCCAGTTACTTCTCTCCCAAACCACACATACAAGTGACCCATTTGAAACCAAATCAACACCAGATGAGGTGGTTATCTTGTCGTGTGGTTAGTTTTATCTGTTGATGTGAAGAAACCCAGAATCAGACAAGACAACAAAGATGATCTTTGATGGTAGCTCTTAGGTTTGTCTGAGGCCTGTGACTCCAACTGTACTGTTCTGACCTTCTGACCTTCCCACCAGGATCCATTGTCCCCAGAACCTTCCTGGAATAATGCTGGGCTGCCTGTGTCATGGCTTTCATTCTGCAAACCTTGTTGGCCTACTTTCAATTTCAGGAAATTTCATTTTCAAGGAAAGAAGATATTCTTCCTCTTTTTTTAATACTGCGCAGCTGCCTTGGGAGGAAGCAGTGACTGCTGATCCATCACCATCGATTTCAGATCCTTCCTGGCACCTGGTATGGAGCGGGATAGAACAGACATGCTCCACTTTCCACGATGCTGTGAGGTCACTGGGGCTTCCCAGAGGAGCTAAAGAGGCCGCTATTTCCAAATAAAAACAATGAAAACATCTTCAGGTCATTTCTGTATCAGATGTCTCTGCCTGGCTTCCAGGAGCCATGGACACCTCATTCTTCCCTCCGAGGGGCTGCCAGTCCAGAGCCGAGCCCAGTCCGCACAACTAAGGAGAGGAATTATGAGCGGCAGTTTCCTTTTCTTTTTCCAGCAGCATGAGTTGGGCAGGGGAGGATGCAGTGGTCAAAGGTCAACAACTGGAGAGGAAGGGGAGTAGGGGCATCCCCTCTACCCCCTGTACCCCCCAGCTACAAGGTGCTGACAAAACCCTGCAGAGTTGGGGCTGGTGGGGTGGGCATCCTCTGTGCACCTCCTTCTTACAGGGAGAATGAAAACTGAATAAAATACTTTGTCCACAGACTGGCTTCCAAATTAATGTCTTTATTCCAAGTTTTACTGTCACAGGGAGAATGAAAACTGAATAAAATAGTTTGTCCACAGACTGGCTTCCAAATTAATGTCTTTATTCCAAGTTTTACTGTCACTACAACCACAGGGGGTGGCATGTGTCCACAAGGGTACTCCCACTTTGGTGCTTACGTCCATTTAGTGCCCAACGCCCCCCAGACTTTCCTACCTCTGTGCTTTCCTTTAGTCTGGATACCTTGAACGTTGTCTCAGAACAGAAATGCTCCCTGTTCTTCAAAGCCCAGTCTGTAATTTCCTTGCTTCTTCCTCCCGCCCCAAAAGCTTCCAGGCCTCTCATGTATATGTCCCGGTGAGCTGAATGTGGCTGAAGAATATACAGCAGTGTGCCTTGTGCAGCCACCGCCAGCCAGTTAGAATTGGCAGACAGATGACCCTCGCCGCCATCCCTGGTTTAAATCCTGGTGGAGAGTTGTCCTTAGTTTCTTTCCCCCGCCCCCTTTTCTGGATTTCTCCATGCTTCTGTGAGTAACTTGAATCTCATCTCTGAATTCCAGTAAGAGACTCAACACCGACACAAAGCCCCAGCACAAGCAGCTCAAAGTGTCCAGTCTCATCACTTTATCCTACTACTTTTTGCCAAGGGTTCTTTCTTTCTTGACATAAAACCCTTGGTATGCACTCTTCAAGCTTCCCCATCACAACTCTGGCTGTGCAGAGTCCCCTGAGTAGTCTGGGCTGAACCCTTCATCCCTTCAGCCATGCAGCATCCACCCACCCTGTCAGTCATTGTACATTTGCTGAATACTGAGACAAGCCAGTGTACAGTGTTGGGGGCATCCAGAAGTGCCCCCAGAGGCACTTCCATTTCGGCACATTCGAGACAGTTCTGTTGACAGGCCAGAGGGTCTGCACATCCACCTGGACGTGGGCAGACACTGTGGACCCTGGGGAAGAGATGTTCACTGGCATTTATCCGTTCTTAGACAAACCTGAGGTCCTTTCTATAATGTGTTCCAGAACGTGCTTCCTGTTTGCCTCCTAAAAAGTATTTCCTGATGTTGGTCTGGTTGCCCAGTTTGTTTGGAGGTAGTGCTGTTTTTCAGAAGACCAGCCGAGGTCGTCTGGTGGGTGTTCCAGATAAAGCTGAGATCCAACAGCAAACTTCTTCAAGGGTCAGAATCCTACCCGGGCCCTCCTGATGATCTTGGTGACTCTCCATGAGAGGAGGAGGTAAGCAGAGAAAGTCATTGTTAACCCATTTGATAAGATGATAAAGCTGAGGTGCCAATGTGCCTGAGAACTTGAACTGTCAGGGTCTTTGCTTAATCTTCCTGAAGCTACACTGCCCTCTGCTGTCCAGTTTGGAGAACATCACAAACAGAAAGCAGTGATAGTTTCATATACAAACCATAGAATTGTTGGAACACAAACGCTTGGAGTCTCCAAATATTGCAACCTTCCATAATCCCTACCAGAGCAGCTCTTCCACTCTCACCTTCCACATCTCTAACTCCTTCCCTAGGTTCTCTGAACTCTGACTACTTTACCCTACCCCATTCAAAGCTGGCATCAAATGTTTGTTGATAGAATGACAGTG